TCCTCCTGCGCCTCCTCGTGATTTGTATGTGATCAGTAGCTTGCAGTCCTTGGATTTGGTGGGTTTAACCCTACTTGCACCAGAGGTTTAGAAGTTGAGAAATCCTGAGACACCAGCAGCTTTTACCACATGTACTGTATATCCCCAAATACTGGAGTGTTGCCATGCTTCTTGTGCTGGTATTGCGATGCACTGGGACCTCTCGGACAAGGACTCCACTTTCTCCTGGTTGAAGGACTCCTTCAAGGTTGGCCAGGATAAGCACCACCTTGTACCAACAGTTAGATCTTGTATTAATCCTGTGATACCGTATGACTTACGTTCCTTGCCCTGTCAGTTCGCATTGAGAGTCATGTGATGCAGGATTGAACCCTTGTACAAACATATTAAAGATCCCCTGAATCTGAATGCTTGGCTGGGGCAGGACAATGGAGCTGTATGACCTCAAAGACTTCTGAGCTTGAGGGTAGTCAGGTGAGTTATCTGAGGAGCAAATAAATAAAATCCTACAGTGATCTCTCCTTCATGCTAATAAGCCTGGACCTTGGCAGTCAGGCACATGTAGGGACTTCTTTATTAAAGTGACACTAAACGATATCCTTACACCCCAAAAATAATCCATATGTCTACTAACTAATGGCCCTGTAATCTATTTTTGATATTGTTTTTACTGTGTTTTTCTGCCTCTTTCTACAAATCCTGTAGTCCATCTCACGACGTGAGCGAGAGAGGATGCATTCCTACCTCCAGTGGGACCATGGGTAATGAACGTAGTCACCCTCTAATAGGGAGATGGATCACAGCAGCAAGAAATGAAATCTGGTGGAGGTTGGGAGCAATAGCAGGGACTTTGCTAAATAAAAAAATACTTCAATAGAATTCTTTTTTAACCAGAGTTTAGTGTCAATTTAATGCTAAGTACTTAAAATATTTTGACTATTACCACCCGCAACGACCCACCAACCTGATCGTTCTCTGTTCCTCCCAAGACCTCCTGCTCTCTAGTTCCCTTGTCACCTCCTCCCATGCTCACCTCCAGGACTTCTCCTGAGCCACTCCCATCCTATGGAACTCCCTATCCTAATCTGTCTAACTATCTCCTACTCTGTCCACTTTTAAGCTTGGGTCACACTAGTGACTCCGAAGTCACACAATTTTTCAGTGTGGCTTACATGTGACCTTCATGCAACTTTACACTCTATGACACGGGTGTCAAACACAAGGACAAATGCCCGCAGGACAAATCTGTCCCTCCAGGCCAATTCATGTGGCCCTTATACCTCTCCTGCAGGTACCCCCTTGTCTCTGCCCCCACCTTGTCTCAGCAGTCGGCAGCAGAGAGGAGAATAGAACTCCTCTGTCAAATCCTGCACCTCTTGGTGCCGCTGCAGCATCTTCTTCATCTCTGCCTCCCTTGGTCTCCGCATTCAGCAGACTCTGGTAATGGACTCCGCTCCTCCTCTGGTAACGGGCTCCGCTCCTCCTCTGGTAACGGACTCCGCTCCTCCTCTGGTAACGGGCTCCGCTCCTCCTCTGGTAAGGGGCTCCGCTCCTCCTCTGGTAACGGACTCCGCTCCTCCTCTGGTAACGGGCTCCGCTCCTCCTCTGGTGACGGGCTCCGCTCCTCCTCTGGTGACGGGCTCCGCTCCTCCTCTGGTGACGGGCTCCGCTCCTCCTCTGGTGACGGGCTCCGCTCCTCCTCTGGTAAGGGGCTCCGCTCCTCCCTCTGGTAACGGGCTCCGTTCCTCCTCTGGTAACGGGCTCCGCTCCTCCTCTGGTAACGGGCCTCGCTCCTCCCCCGGTAACGGGCCTCGCTCCTCCCCCGGTAACGGGCCTCGCTCCTCCCCCGGTAACGGGCCTCGCTCCTCCCCCGGTAACGGGCCTCGCTCCTCCCCCGGTAACGGGCTCCGCTCCTCCTCCGGTCCTCCTCCAGACCATGCACTTTCTGTTTTCCAGCTCTGCCCCCAAAGGTGGTGCACGGTGATGTCAGGGATTCTTGACATCTGATGTAATGGGGGGGTGGGGGGTGTTGTGGACATCTAGACTTACAGATACAACTGGCCCTTTGAGGGCAACCATAATGCTGATACGGCCCTTGATGAAATGGAGTTTGACACCCCTCCTCTGTGACATCAAAGTATTGCAAGAACCATTTTTAAAGTTGACTTTAGTCGCATAGATTTGAACGGGTGCCATTGAAATCAATGGGCTGTGACTTGTCATGCGATTTTGTGTCCTAAGTCACATGACAAGTCACACTAGTGAGAAGATGATCTTTGAAAACCCATCTCTTCAGAGAAGCCTATCCCCCTCTACTAATAACTAATCTACTAATAGCCCATCCCCCACAGTTATTAACTTTTGTCTCCCTTGACCCTCACTTTTTAGATTGCAAGCTCTATTGAGCCGGGCCCTCTGATTCCTCCTGTATTGAATTGTATTGTAAGTGTACAGTCTGCCCTCATGTTGTAAAGCGCTGTGCAAACTTTTGTCGCTGTATAAATCCCTAACAAAAAAGAAATGCTGCGGATTTTGCCTTTTTTTTTTTTTTTTTTGCTTGCCCAGGATTTCTAGCGTTAATTTTTTTTTATATTAATTTTACAGATATACAGGCTAAAATACACCATTTAGATGGCCCTTACCTAGTCTGCCATGTCCTGAAATACATGCTGCAGAGTTAGATCTTCACAATGCATAGTGAGAGATAATTCCGTTATTATTCAGTAGGGATCCTCACTCTTTACCAGGTAAACTCTGATGGTTGTGACTTTGTCTTTATTTTACAGAAGTTGAAGGCTTGATTGGTAGTCATGTAGTTACAGAGCCACTGCTAACGTGCCCCAGGCTCAAGTACTGCGACCACCACAGATAGAACTAGTTATAATGTGATCATTTTAGCTTTTTATGGCTCCGGTGTCATGTCGCTGTCATAGTCACAGTTGTTCTGGGCTTCCGGAATGACAGTGTCCATTTGCGTTCATGTTTGTTTTACTTGGACATTTGGCGTCAAGGTTTTTTTCTTTTTGGGCAGGGGGGTGGTAAATATCAACAGCTGAGATCTTCTGATAAATGTCCAAATATGGGGTAGGATTTGAAGTGGATGAAAGAAATCAAAAAGTCAATGCTGGTAAATAACTTTGTTACCTAAGGGCTCATGTACTCGGGACACTTCTGAGCGATGGAAACTGCCTGCTGGAAAACGTAGGTTAAAAATCGTCTGTTTAGCCGCGTTTGCATGCCGCATTTATGCACGTTTGCGTTTAGAAGCGTTTTTTAAAGATAAATTCAGGAGACCTTCCAAAATGCCCAGAATGCACTGAAAAATAGTTTACTATTTCCTAGATTGTAAGCTCGAAAGAGCAGGGCCCTCGATCCCCTCATGTTTTGCATTGTATTGGTATTGTTCTGTCACATGTTCTGTCCCCTTTTGTAATGTACAGCGCTGAGCGAACTATTGGCGCTTTATAAATACTGTATAATAATAATAATATAATAATATTTCAGACGTTTTGAGAGGAATAGAGAGAGTAGAAGCAGAGAGAGCAGTGTGTGTGGAGATGACCTGTCTTTTCTGGTTGTATTCACTATGGATCATGAGCATAATGCGGCATGTTACACCATTTTATCCTTCACGCAAAACCTGGAACTGACTGCGCTGGTGTACCGGGTCTATTCGAGTACATGGAAAACGCTTTGCATGCATTTCTGAAGATGAAAAAAGGCTTCTAAACCCAACGCATATAAACGCGGTTAGCTGCATTTACACGCGTTTGGCGTTTGAAACGCTGATAAAATCTACTCCTGAACACAAGTTTGGTGCGTTCAAAAAAAAACGACTGTAAACTCAACTGCCTGTAAATGACTGTAAATGTCTATCTGTACATGGACACATAGGAAAACATTAGGGAGAGTTCAGGGGCTGCTGAAAAAACGCAGAAAAAGCTCCTAAACATCAGTTTATCAGGACTCAGTGTACATGAGCCCTTAAAATACTTTCTGATTGCATTAAAAGTGTTTAACAAGAATGGCTTGTGTTGCCTCTTATGACCACTTAGGTTTTAAAGTAGACATTTCAGGTTTATTGTGAACTATGCTTAAATCTGCCCCCCCCCCCCCCCCAAATCCTTTTTAACTAACCTGTGAAAGGAATATGCCTAAACTTATCTATGAGGGCGCTCCGATTTGGTCATGTGATTTGCTCCCAGTGGCAGCTTCAGGGGAGAGGAGGGACAGCTGACAATGGATATGGGTGACATCATTGTCGGCATTGTTGGCAATCCCTCCTCTCCTCCGAAGCCGGCCGCCAGGGAGATCACATGACCAAACCAGGTCACCTTCAGAATAGGGAAGTGTAAGAATCTTCCTTTTACAGGATAATTGGAATAGGATTTAGAAGGAAGGCGCAGGGTACGCTTAGTTAGCATTAAGCCTAGAATTCCATTTTAATCCAAAAATAATTTTTCTAAATACTTACAGCTCTACTTTTTTTTTTTTTTTACCCAGTCGAGAATTTGTAATTCTACTCCGCATGCCTCTAGTAATTATACACATCGGCCACAGTGCACAGCCAGACTGGTGACACCGTTGTTTCCTGGTTCCGCTGTGCAGCTCAGGAAGGGAGAAGAAAGGGGTCATCACGCAGCAGGAGCCCACCCAATGGGAGGAAAAAAAAATCTGCCTGCTGAATATACTATATTAGGTATAACTAAAGACAAAACTTTTTTTTTTTTTTTTTAGTTTTGGATACAGTGGAGAGAAATCAGAACCACTGTCAGTTTTCATTGCTGTTGGTGTCCCCGTTAGGGAAATTCACCCTCTATATTTGTCCTGTTTACATTACCATCGAAAATGAATGCAAAAGAAAATCCCACATTTTTTTGTTGACATCAGAACAGTAATCAGACACACTTTAGATCATGGGTGTCAAACTGGCGGCCCACCAGCTGTTCCCAAACTACAAGTCCCATGAGGCATTGCAAGACTGACCGTTACAAGCATGACTCCCAAAGGCAGAGGCATGATGGGACTTGTAGTTTTGCAACAGCTGGAGGGCTGCCAGTTTGACACCCCTGCTTTAGATCCTTTAAGGGTGTCAACTGGCGGCCCACCAGCTGTTCCCAAACTACAAGTCCCATGAGGCTCAAGACCACCGTTACAAGCATGACTCCCAAAGGCAGAGGCATGATGGGACTTGTAGTTTTGCAACAGCTGGAGGGCTGCCAGTTTGACACCCCTGCTTTAGATCCTTTAATACATGGGTGTCAAACTGGCGGCCCACCAGCTGTTCCCAAACTACAAGTCCCATGAGGCATTGCAAGACTGACAGTTACAAGCATGACTCACAAAGGCAGAGCCATGATGGGACTTGTAGTTTCGCAACAGCTGGAGGGCCGCCAGTTTGACACCCCTGTTTTAATATATCCATAAAATCAAGCAAGTTCACAAATATAACTTTCTACCTTTTTCCTTGTTCCTGATGTCCTTTGAGAGCTGTAATAGGGTCACCAGCAATATTCCCATATGAAACGTCCTTCTATGCCTGGTAGTTTTCTGTCATTTATAAGTTTCCCTGTGTATAATTACATATACTTTGCAGCCAATCTCTCTCCCATTCTACTGTATCTTCTTTTGTACATACTTCCAGACTTTTTCAAAACGCCACCTGCTGCATACAGATTGATATTGGCTGCTGGCATTGGATCAAGCAGCTATAGGAAGCAATGCAAATTATTTAGTATTTTTATCACAAAGGTACAGTTATTCTTTGAACATTTTTATTCTCTGGTTTTACCCACAAATTTCCATGAGGCTAGACAGCCTAAAGCATTTCTGCATTTTACATATTGTGTTTTGTTGTGTCCAAACTTGGCGCTACTGCGGCTTAGCAGTTTTCTGGCTTCTTAAAGGGACTCTCGGTTTTCTCTCATTTAACGCCCACCCACTGAATTATACTCCTGTTCCCTGTGCTCACCGGGCACTTCTAGGTGTGGGGAAGCATGCGATTTCCTCTTATCCCATGCTCTAGCCTGTGCTCCCAGTCACCTGGCCTGAACACAGTCATGTTATGGAGGCAGTGACATCATCCACCCTGTGTAAGCTCCGACATAGAGCTTACACAGGGTTAAGACTGCAGAACAGCGGCGCAGTGAGAGTCAGGGCATAGACTTTCAGTAGAATCTACCACTTTTTCCTGAAGGAACAAAGTGACAGTGTCTCTTTGAGCCCTAAGGGTAGATTTAGATGTACATATAAACTTACCCAGGCTCTGAAGCCCAATCCCTGTTAGGATCACGCTCTAAGGCTGCTGAGCAGTGGTGTATTTTGGTTGTGTGCCGCCCTGGGCAAGCGTAAAATTGTGCCGCCCTGGGCAAGCGTAAAAATTGTGCCCCCCTGGGCAAGCGTAAAATTGTGCCGCCCTGGGCAAGCGTAAAATTGTGCCGCCCTGGGCAAGCGTAAAATTGCGCCCCCCTGGGCAAGCGTAAAATTGCGCCGCCCTGCCGTTTAAAATTGCGCCGCCCTGGGCAAGCGTAAAATTGCGCCCCCCTGGGCAAGCGTAAAATTGCGCCCCCCTGGGCAAGCGTAAAATTGCGCCCCCCCGGGCAAGCGTAAATTGCGCCCCCCTGGGCAAGCGTAAAATTGCGCCCCCCTGGGCAAGCGTAAAATTGCGCCCCCCTGGGCAAGCGTAAAATTGCCCCCCTGGGCAAGCGTAAAATTGCGCCCCCCCCGGGCAAGCGTAAATTGCGCCGCCCCAAGCGTAAAATTGCGCCCCCCCGGGCAAGCGTAAAATTGCGCCCCGCCCCCCTGGGCAAGCGTTAAAATTGCGCCCCCCTGAGCAAGCGTAAAATTGCACCTCTCTTGGGGGGAGATTCCAGCACTCCTGCGTGGGCCAGCTGTTATCAGGGAAGCCCGATGTCTTCTTTCTACGGACGCACTTCAGCAGCCCACACTGCTGTGCCTCACCTGCTCCCCATCCTCAGTCACTGGCTGCCATGTATGTCACTTCTGCTGGGGGGTTATGACGCCCTAGGCAAATGCCTTGTTTGCCTTGTTGTAAATATGCCCTGCAGCGTCTCCTCACCACCTGTTTTAACCCCATCTTTGCCGACAATTGCACGTGTAGCGTTCAGTGGGCTAGCTGGCCTCCGATCGATGCATTTCGAAGTCAGCCCTGCAATCAAAGCATTGCAGTCGTGGCATGTGAACAACCCCATCCGCTGCCTATTGCAGCTTAAGGGGGGTGGTTGGTGGGCAGCAAAAATGCAGCTCATCCGCACATTTTTACTGCCCGCAAGTCTAAACGAGACCTAAAATCCGTGCAGCCGCAGCACGGACACAGAGAACTGCGGACCCATGGGCGGGTGCCATTAATTATAATGGCACGCCGCCTGCACTAGAAAATGCAACCGTACTGGGAACCGAGGTTCCCGTGCGGGCTGCGTTTTTAGGAAGAAGTGCAGGGACTTCTTCCCTGCCTGTCACGGGGCACGGGAGTCAATTCAAATGAATGGGCTCTCATGCCCGTGCAAAACGCGGCCCGCACGGCCGCATATTTGTGAACCGGGGCTTAGCGTGGATGGAGGAATCTTTTGGATTTTTTTTCATTGATCCTGCAGGCTGAGTAAAAAAAAAAATCTATTGGCATATATCCGGCCTAACTTGTTTACCTCCAGTATTCTTCAATTACAGTGTGCATTTGTTCGGGAGGCAGGAGGGGGGGCGGTAGTTTTAGAGAATGGCTGATATCAACATACATTTTGCTTCCTTTTGTCTAGAGGCCGGCATGTTTGTGGTTGGTTGCCTAATTACAGGTCACAAAACACTGATTCAGCAGTCTGTGCCCTGCTCTGTTGATTCCACCCTTCTTACTGTAAGCACCAGCCCTGTGTGGCGGGTATCAGAATGTGATGGAGCTCAGAGAAGAGATGTAGGTCCTGCCAGTTTATTCTCTGTGGCTTCTGGAACCTGTTGTGATTCACCTTCCTGATACGGTTCCCCTTGTCTGCCGGTACAGTATGTATCCACATACCTTCTACTTTATCCTCTGTTATGGTTGATGTATAGCTTGACTTGAATTATCTTCTCCATCAGCTGTGGAATTCAGTTCAGTATTCATGGCTTGTTATAGTTTCTCCGGTCTGCAACAGAACTTCAATCTAAACAAAAAATGTTTTCTCCATTAATAGGCGAGCTGTTTAGATCTGCTTTGCTATTTAACAAATCAAAGTGATAATATAGCTAAAATATCTTGTATGGAGGGATAAAGCCGGCCATAGTCGGATCGAGTCTCAGCCAATTCAGTTGGGACTAGCCAAGATCTGACCCATCTATAGACAGGTTGGTTGATCCATCGGTCAACTTCAGTACAACCAGCCTGTCTGATTTGTAGCATATGATTACTGCCTGTGGCTATAGCCGCTAGCATTAATCATTGTGTTTTGCCAGCCGGGAAGGCTCGGCATGCCACCCGTGGTGGACGGAACGAAAATCAATTCATCTATGGCTCGTTTTTAGAATCCTTGTCAATATTTTACTGCTTTCTGGGTCCCTAATAGTTATATTCACCCCTCTGTTTTGTCCTGGTGATTGTAAATTTTTGGACTTCCTATTTCTTTTTGTCTCAAAAACAGTTGTCACTGGTAAGGCTGTCCACTCGCATCCAATTTTGGCCAAAATTCCCTCTATCCATCCTGTCCTCACCACCCAGGGTTCTCCAAACTATGGCCTGAGGGCCACATCATCGAGCCCATTACAAGATTTAACTGGCCTACAGTAACTTTGATGTGAAATTGGGGCGCTGATGTTAAAAGGGGACTCTGATGAGTTGGGGGCATCTGATGTGAAATTATTACTTGTAGCATTTTCAATCATTCATTTAAATTTTTGGTTTTCATTCAGTCTGCAAATATTTTCAAAATATACAATGTGGCCCTCATACTGAAAAGATTGGAGACCCCCAAACTACATCATCAAAAGTCCATTTTTTTTGTTGAGTTTTTCAAGGAAGCCATGTAGAAAATTGATGGGCAGACATTCATCCATTTGTCCCTTGCATAGACGAAACATGCAGGGAGGGGTTAGTGGCCTATTACGTCATCACATCTGCTGGTGTACTGCAGCATGGTGTTTTTGAGCTTTTGTTACGCTGAGATGCTTGTGAGTATTTGCATGAAATAAATTGGTGTTTTCAGCAATATTACTCAATGGTCCTTTGTATTTTCCTCTGACTCTTACTGGGAAAAATTGCAATTTACGGACAACCAGTGGAGGACCTGGTGGGCATGAAGGTCCACCATACCCTGATGGGATTCGCATTTGGTGTATACTGTGTTAATGATCTCTTATAATCTGTAGATCATGGTTATCCGGTAAGGGAATTCATTCCCTGTAGCTATGTCCGATGTGGTTTGGGACAAAACACGTGGAACTGTGGCATTTCCTTTTTACAAGATTCTACACTGGCCCCCTAGTGGATCCCTGAAATGTTCTCTAGGGAGTGGACTTTCATTTCTTTTATATCGTTGTGTGATTTATACTTAACATGGTTTTATTTTTCCACTTTATTGGTGATTTTATTTATTGATGTTAATATTTGCATTACTTTACTGTTTGTTTTCATTGTGATTTTTATGGTCAGAGGTTTTGCGCACTGTTTATTATTTTGTTTTTTCTTGTATCCAGAACACAGTGTGTAGCTTTAAGCCGGCAATAGATGGTTTGAATCTTGGCTGGTTCAGCAGGGATCAGCCGAGATTTGAACCATCTATGGGCAAGGTGATTGTTCCCAAGTTGATTGTTGTTAAACTTGGGTACAACCAGCATGCCAGACATTTTACATGTAACTATTTCTAGTAGCTGGTATAGCAGCTAACAATAGTTACTGTGCTTTCCTGGCGAGGTTCCCCCAACGGCAGAACACAATAGTTCCATGAGAGGAATTCCCCCCTCAAGACTGACTATATGTGCTGTAAGTGGTGAGAACTAGTGCCTCTTGTGACATCGTATTCTGGGAACCTGAAGGAGCGTGAATTGCCAATCACATGGATGACACACCGAGTGATTGCTATGATGACCAATCAATGTGATCATCAAAGTAAACAGTGTAGTACTGTTTACATTGCTGAGCCCTCCCCTTCCTCTCACAACAGAGGAAGGGGGAGCAGAGGATTTAAAGGGTAACTCCACTTTTGTGGAGAAAAAATGGCAAATAAAAAAAAATATAGTAGTAGATTATCCCGCTGATAGCTGAAATGTAAATATAAGGAAAGCTGGGAATTACCGGTTGTTAAGGAGCGAGGTCGCTGCGTCCTTAACAACCGATGACTCGTTCAGCTGTGAGTGTGGTTCCCCTGCTAACAGCTGTAGTGTAAACAAGTCCTGGCAATTGGAACTCTCAAAAAAACAAAAGCAGCCTGACAATTTTTAT